GAAGCATCAGACATGTTGGTTTATTTTTATAGAGTCTAGTTTGTATATGTGATCGGATGATGACCCGATCCGGATGTGGTTTTTAATAACGTTATACAGCCCAGTGCGTAGGACATATAAACCCTGTTGTTTTGGTGATTAGGGTTAATTGTGGATGGTACAGCCGCTCTCTGTATTCAACTCTCTCTTTAGTGAAATCCCTGCAGCTTCGTGGACGTAGGCAAATTGCCGAACCACGTAAAATCTGTGTCTTGTTCTTTCTTGTTTCTTATTGCTTTATATTCTTGATTTGTTCTTCGATTGTGTGTGTTTGTTAGTGGATTTAAATCGTGTGAAATCTCAACAAGACAGATATAAACACTGTCTTATTACTCCCAGGCACACGCTATGCACAAGTTTCGAGCCAATCATGCAGTATTCAACAGAAGGCGATGGAATTAATTGGAAACGCTCACTATCAAAGTAAAAGGAGAGTATTGAATTTGAAATCTTGTAGTCAATAAAAAGCCAATGAATAGCGCCATTCAGATAGGTGGGGAATGCAAGCTCATGAGTTGAGAAGGGAGCATAACCTATGTTTTTCCATGATTCAGTTCCAAGTGTGTGTACCTCAGCCATCCTACTAGTTAATATTTCTCTGCCTCTAATGGGGCAACGAACCAATTGATGAGGCCCTTGATCAAACATTCTGATCACCTTGAACCGATTTGTCTTTGGACAGAAGCCAAAACCACAATCAATGAAAGCTTTTGTATCCTTATTCACCTTTGTAGCCATCGGAAGGTTTATGTACTCCCCCGTAACTGGATTACACATGACAACAAGGTCAGTACGTGAGGGCTCTGACAAACAAAGGAAGTCATTGCATGAATTTAATATTTTGAACTTATGATCTTTGGGTTTCAGTTTGATGCATCGCTTCCTCTTAGTACCACCAGTAGAGCAATGACTCATTATAGCATTGCCTTCATTGTTAAGCACTGTTTCTTCATTACGCAAAGGGATCTTTAATTTGCTGTCAAGCTTCATACTAAATTGACATTTACATTTAAAGTAGCAAAGATGATAACACATGCGGTCCCTACAATCAACTTCAGGCGGCTCAACCAAATAAAGCATTCCTGACACACGAACAGTATCCGTGGTCCGAACCAGAGGGCCGGCCCGTGATTGTCTAAAGTGCAGCTTAGCAAACTGAGGGTTTGAAATAATACGGTGCCATGTTTTGCATGTGCACTTGCACATTATAATTCCCTTGATGGGCAGTCTTAGTAGAATATCTACAAAGATTGGCTCAGGAAGATCCTTTGTGGAGTGGCCCAATCTATGAACATGTTCACCTGCTTCTTTGTGGCCTTTCCGAGCATCAAAAGTCATTGGATTTCTTCTTTTTTTCATGGCTATTCTTCAAGATCTATGCAAGTGGAAATGGAGCTGAGTGTTACAAAGCATAGAACTACCACTTTAGCATCAACACAATTAACAAAACATAGAAAGTCCTGTTAGAAATAGCTTGAAAATCATATGACATAACATTTGATACGTTAATATAATTGGAGAAAAGGCCTATTACAGAGCATATGATATGAAAACAGTAAAAAAATCTGCTTTTCTATTACCTTAATGTGCATAAAAATAAAATATTCTTTAATAGCTATCCTATAAATCTATAGAAACTACATCTACAGTATGCAAAGTTGAGTAAAACATTAACAACAATGAGCTAGGATAAAAAAAAAAAAAAGAGAGATTAGAAACGGGGCCAGCCCAACAGTATAAAAATAAAGCCTAGACTTTAAGCCCAAAGTTTTTAAAAAATCCCATAATTTTAGGTACATTACTAACCCTATATATATATATATAAATTCAAAATATTTTAAACCATCAAAAAAAGTCCCAAAAAATTAAGTCCAATTAAAAATTTTTATTGCAATAATTGGAACCCATAATCCAATCCATAACATTAAAAACCTAAAAACCAGAATACGCAAAAGTCACCTCACCCAATCACCCATTGTCCCTCTCTCTCCGGCAAAAAAAGTGAAAAACAAAAATTGAAATTAAACTATCTCTCCCTAGTAAAAAAAACAAAAACTAAAATTGAAACTTCTTTCTCGAGGAGTCTAGAGCATCTTTCTTTTGTCTCATATAAAAAATTAATATTAAAAATAAAAAAAATACCCCATTTAATGTTTTCCATTTAGGCCTCAGATTGCTGCATGCGGCTCACATAAAAGGCACTTTTATACCTCTATATCTCTAATGAAGTCATAACTCTCTGCAATTACATAAACAAATTCTTAGGATCCAGAAGCCTGTTAGATACCCAGTTCGAGATATCAAAATAATTTGTACCAAAAGAAAGAAAAGTCAATTTAGAGAATCACTCTCCAAAACTGAAGCATTCAAACCTAAAACAAAACCCTTTTTTTGGGCCGGATTAGTGTTCCAAAGAGTCCCAAACCCATGACTTAAAAGGAATAAAGCTACAACATACCAATCATACAGTGCATGTCATAAAAACATCGGAGAGAGAGTTACCTGGAAGAAGTTTGAACAGAATTTCAAAGAGATATGTGGGAAGCAAATTATCAGCAAAGAAGATTGGAATAAAGAAACAGAAAGAGGGTGATGACTTACTCGTTCTTGGCGCGAAATGGGTACGGACGTTTTGTACGATGGCGGGAATGGTAAACCTCGGTAACTATTTCGTGGTGAATATGAAGGGATTCACTGTTCCAGCCTTTCAGGTTTACATTTTATGGCCTGTTTGGTAAGATGGAAAATAAGGTGGATGAAAAATGGAGCGGAAAGAAAATATTTTCATTGTTTAGTACGAAGGAAAAATAGGAGGGAGAGAAAATATTTCTATTATTTGGTATGGAGAGAAAATAAATTTTGCTATTGGGGCAAAATTTAAGGATATAATTTTAAAATGAGTAATGTTATTTTGACTTAAAAATTTAATTTAATTTGTTAACCTAATAACTTGATTTTATTATAACCGTTGAATGAACACTAAATTTTAATATTTAATAGAATTTATAATCAGTTTACTGATTATATTGAATTAAGCAATTAGACAACGAGTGGGTCCCAATATTAGATGTATTTCATTATCAATGTAATGGTGCTAATATTCTCAAATTATGTCACAATAGTAATTTATTCGTTTTTCCCCCACTCTCTTGAGAAGATAAAAGGGATTTTGATCTTTTCAATTTTCAAATTATCTATTTTAATCAAGTTTAATCTCGTATATTTTGAAGGTTTAAAATTTTATTTTGGTGCATTATTTTGATTGGCTAAAACATAAAAATATTTTGAAAATAAGATGAAAACAAAAAATTTGAAAATAAATTTGATAATTTATTTTCAAAATATTTCAAAACTTTAGTTGAAAAATGAAAACACATCTTGAAACACCTCAACACATTACAGAATATTGGTAAGAAGATTACAAAATATTTCGAAACAATTCGTACCATTGCAATTTTGATTAAATCACCGATTCGTTACGATGTTCTTGAAAATGAAGACGTTTTATCTATTTGAAAACAAACTTTTGATCTTTGTATATTTTAACTATTGGATCCCACACCATATTAAATAAACTTTATGCCTTTTCATCTTTTTGTGACAAAGAAAGTGGTTGTATGGTAATGTTTTTATTTTTACATTTTCAAAAAAATAAAAAACATAGACAGTTTTGTTTTGTTTTGGAATAAACACTTAAATTAAAAACCATGTTTTGGAGTCATTTATGTTTACCAAATTATGAAAATAAAAACAAAAATATATGTTTGGTAACCTATTGAATTTATGTCTCAATTATTAGCTTTATCGGCCAAAACTCTGTCACACACCATTCCCATGAGATGCCCAAAACCATGGCAATCATTTAGCCAAAATTAACTCAACACAATTGCATCAAGAGTAATGCTATTTGGACCTTCTAAATCTGATCTAATTTACTGACATAATGATGTAGCTTCAATAGAACCATTGGATCGACACTAAGTTCTAATGTTTGATGGACTTCACGGTCAATCTAAAAGTCATAATGAATTAAGTCAGCAAATCAAGTCCTAATAGCATTGCTCTTGCATCAAACAGTCAATCTAAACAATCTCACCAACGAACCAGTGAAGCCAAATTCCGGAATTTAGAAAGAAATTACAATGCATAAGAAACAATATGCTGAAAGGAAACGCATGTATCCAATCTTGGTCATGCCACATAATTAATTACATTCAACACAATCACCTGCATGAGCACAACCCCATGGCCTAGATGGTCCATCTTCACTAAATGGTTTATGCCTAGGAATCCCATTCCCCAACTTGGAAATCAGTCGCAGCTTTTGGGACCTCTCCTCTTCAGATCTCAGACAGAGTGGGCAGGGAGGGTAATTTTTGGGAGTCTTTGGTGTTGTTTGCTCCAAGCATTCGGCACACTCAGGAATCTGAACCATTCCCAGCAATAGAGTCTATAGTGTCATTGAAGAGAATCCCTACCCTATTTTCCACATCTGTATACGTTCAATGCACATAATTTACATCATTATTCAATTTCATTATCTCTATCCAATCTCGTTGTAACATAAAGATCTACATTAAAATATGAGTTTCATCTTCTTCTTTTTTATTGTTATTTTCTTAATTGTACTAGTTTTGACCTTCAAGTTTTCAGTTCTAATTCTATCTATCCTTGACCTTATTGGCCATATGTCCAATCACGTGATATAACATAATCAAATTCCATTTTTAACTTTAAGAGGAATTTTATCATATTAAAAAAAATGGTATTAGAAATGAAACAAGTGCACAGATAACACAAGCATAATATTACAAAGAAATCAACACTCATCCAACTCTACCCAACAAGTAGTACACAACATGTGTGAATAATACACCCAAAATTAACATCATTACACTTATCATGCACCATATAATATATCGGTGATATCCATATCCTTGTACGACGATAGGGGTTGGTACATCATCTTCCATTGCATGTTTTTCATTAATATTGCGTAATGTTGCATTCTCCTCCACTGCAACATCATCACCAACTGCATCAACAGTGTCTGCTCCCAATCTTCCAAGGTAAATTCGTAACGTAGTATCAGCCTCATTGTATGAATCATATGACTTGTAAAGCACACCAAGAAACCTATTAACATGCAAATGACACTCCATCCATGAACGACAAATTCCTACCTGCTAGCTAACAAATACAACATATCATCGTTCGCGCCTGTGTATTGCTATTGACATTGTAACATTGCTTGTTAACGACCAAAAGTGAAAAACATGATATGCATGATATTCTACAAATGTCATATTACACAAATGTTATGGGAAGTGATGAATTTGCATAAACATCATTACATTTGTGCCCTACAAATGCGCACATACAAAATGTAATTGTGCATGTTGTATTCATACACACTTGATATCCAAAATGTAGTTCTGCATGTTGTACTCATGCACAATTGATATCCAAAAAATGTCAGCACAACCAAAATATGGGGATGTTACCTAAATGTGTCCATACACACATAATTATACAACGTAATACAAGTTCAATAGAAATTGTTCGGAGATTGTTTTAAGTGGTCCGTCATGTGATAAATTGCTATCTCAATCAAGTACGCGGTGTATTCCACAAAATTCTACCAACCCATGTAGGACGTTCATACTTAGGTAAGTTGAAGAAGATATCAACATTTACAGGGTCATAACAAATAAGCTTAAGGACAATATGTCGGTCTACCATGGACAAACAATTTATCTTTTCTAGTTTGACGTTGACTTTCCTTCATACATCAACAACATCATGATTGAACCCAACACAATGTGCTATCATGCTAGTTGATTACGACAATCGTGCATGTACTCACCAACACCTTCGAGATGTCCACCAAACTCTTAGCAACCCACTCGGACACAATACCACTCACCTTTGCTATTTTTTTTTTTTCTTGATGGAGTTTCAACACTGGCTTCAACACCAATAGTTTGTCCAAGCGAATTTGTCGCGCTATGTGAGGTAGGGACACCATTGTCAAAATGATTCAGTCCAGCCATCTTATTACTTTCACGGACTGAAGTTTCCACCTCGGCATCATCGACCATGTCTTCTAACTCTACAGCATATTCTCTAGTGGCATTGTCCTTACCAAAAATCACACCCCAATCGTTAAAATAAGGTCATGACTTCTCAGACATTTAGGCTTTAAATTCCACGAAATATATAATTACTATGAGAAATAGAATAAATTATTTGTAATATATCACGTTTAAATAGTCATTCCAGATGTCATCACCATCAACAACAATCTTATTCTCAGTTGAATTAAAACCAAATTCCGACGCAGTCATCATGGTGAATAATGAGTTAANGACCAACATGGATAGTAGAAAGTGAAACACAATTACCATCTCTCTAATGGTCTTATTCATAACGGTAAGCAACATACAAACTTCTTCGCTAGGGATGTCTATGTTAACTGCAAAGGTAATATAATTGACAGATTTAAATGACCTACAAAAAATGTAATCTAAAGTTTCAACAAACAACAACTCATATGGTATGTGTTAACTTAAAAAATTATAATATATTTTTAGTCACAGAATTTTAAAAAAAAATATTATGTTTAATTTTGTAAAGTTGTTTATTCCCAGTACAATTAACATTAGCATATAAGTCACGAATGTCTATTAAGATGTTCTCATACAACATAAGCAAATAAAACAATGGTTGGCGTACATAACATGACATAAATATTTACACAATGGCATAAAACAATGGTTGTAATTCACTGGGATTCTGACAGTTATATAGTTTAACCAAATATTTTTTTTTTACTAAAACAAAACTATGTTTTAGTCAGTCTACAATCGATACCGACATTTGTATAGTTTAATAGGCCTTCTGTTTGATCAGTTATATCATTAAGGTTAAATCTTATTTGTTGTATTATTTCTAATTTTTCACTTGCATTGGATTCATTCACCTCAAATTGATCTACACATTTGTTTTTAATTTCTAGGTATTTGCCTTTACAATCACCTATATGATTCTATTTATTTTCCAATTTTGGGTACATCGAATTTCTTCCAAAGTAAAGGTTATAATCTTAACTCGTTCATTGCTCTGCAATATTACATGTTTTCACTGTGGAGGACTGTGTGTGAGACAGACATAGACATAGAGAGAGACACATAGAGATTTGGTTCGGTTCGACTTCATGTGTTATGTTTCATAAAGAAAATTAAAAAATATATCTTCCAAATAATGTTGGCTTGAGTTTGCAAAGGGATGAATCTGGAAAATAGATTCATCCTGCTACAATAGTCCACGTCCATACGACACACACAGCAATAGACAAAGAAGGGAGAAAGATAAATGGAGACACACACACACACACACAACAATGGACACTGGATCCACAGCGACACATACAAAAAAAGCCAAAGAAAAAATAAAAACAGACATATACATATAGACAGAGAGATAGAGACAGAGAATGGGTAAACAAACGAAGAAGAAGAATGGGTAAACAAATACAACACCTGAATCCACAGCAACACCTGAAGCCTTGTTTTACATCTCATTCTAATCTACGTAGAACTTATAATTTAATTAGTTAAAATGAACCGCTCATAACGATTATATTGTACGTTCAAGCCCTACTAAGTCTACTATCTCTTTCTCTTCACCTAATACAAGGCAGATGAAGTCCTTGCCACACTACAAATCTCAATCTAATGACGGCACCTGAAACCACACTTTTGTCGCTGCACTTCGAGCACGCCTCCTACGCTTATCACTGATTGACACTCTTGTAGCATGCCCTCTTCGGGCAATACAACTTTCGTAACACAAGAAGAAGCTGAGCAATAGCTCTTCGATCGCTATATTCTTACGATAACAATAGGTCGAAGACCCGAGTTACAGCTTTAGGCGAATCGCACAATAGGTAAAGACATCACCGAAAGAAGTATCAATTAGATATAGAAATATTTTTCGCTTTTGTAAGTGCAAAAATGTACCATCCTTTTGTATCCCTATTCGAATCAAATTTGATTGATTCATTTTAATTGATAAAATTAGGAGTCGATAAAGAAGTTAAGATTGTTATGTATATCATATTCAAATTACTAGCATTATTATTACAGAACAGTAAAATTACAAATCTATGAAGTTAAAAAAGGAGGAGGAGATTCTTTTATGGTAAAAAAAATCATTCATTTTCATTACTTTACAAGAGAAAAAGAAATAAAACAACGGTCTATTGAATTTCAAGTAGTCAATTTCACCAATAAGATACAAAGACTTACTTCACATTTGGAATTGCACAAAAAAAAGACTATTTATCTCACAGAGGTCTACGAAAAATTTTGGAAAAACGTCAACAGTTATTGTCTTATTTGTCAAAAAAAAAATAGAGTATGTTATAAAGAAATAATTGGTCAATTAGATATTTGAGAGACAAAAACTCGTTAATTTGAAGAATCTTTTTGATTGTTTAAATTTTGATGAACTTTTTTTCATTTTCAACAATTCATGGAAGAATAAATGGAAAAAAACCTATGACTACACCAACTACAAGAAAAGATCTCATAATAGTCAATATGGGTCCTCACCACCCATCAATGCACGGTTTTCTGCAACTCATCGTTCCTCTAACTACAATCCAATATTAGGTTATTTACACAAAGGAATAAATTTTTTTGACGAACTTGCCTTTCTTGACGGATACTAGGCTTAGGGTTGTTTTTTTCTTTCAAATAAGGGCCCAAAATAATTTGCTCAGGTGCCCTTATTTTTTTTCAAAATACGCATAACACCCTACCATATTCTATAACACTTTAAACTATTGTTTTTTACTAGATTAGTTACGGATTAAATAGATACAATTGAAAAAGTAAAAACCTTTGGGTTCTGATCTTTATCTATTTATCTATGCATTCATATACATAAAATATTTTTTTGGGGTATGAGATCTTAGAATCCTTCACTATCACTTTTCTCAAATTGTAGAATTTTTAATTATTGATTGCATAATCAATCTTTTGTCCACTTAAACAATTGTTAACCCCTCCATATTCACAAAAAAAAAAAAAAAATCCCAATGTTTGCCATTCGAATTCCACTTGGTATCGAAGATTACAAGTTTTGTGGTTTTAAGAAAAAAACTACGGTTTATTCACAACAAAATCAATTAAGATCGATTAATAAGTATTTATAATTTTTTAGGTTATATAAATATTTAGAAAAGTATAAAAATGGGAGATTATGAATGATTTTAAATTTTCACTGACACTCACTGTCAGGTTAATGGCGTTAACTAAACTATAATTTTATTAAATTTTCTGTGATATATTTTAGGAAAAATTTCATTCACATTCACAGTAGATAGGCATTATCTTCAATAAGACCCTCTATATTTTTGATTTTTTAAAAATTCAGGCTAATTAAAATTCGATTCAAACTAATTAAAATTTATTTTTTATGTATTAAAATTCGATTCAAGCTAATTAAAATTTATTTTTATGTTTTCAAATTCGAGTAGATTAAAAATTATATTTTTTTACGTATTAAAATTTGAGCTGATTATAATTCGTTTTAAATCGGCTCAAATCAAATTTTAATCAACTTATATTAAATTTTATTGGCCCAAATTTTGATACATAAAAAAATATAAATTTTAATTGACTCAAATTTAAATATGTAAAAAATATTTTGTAATCAACTTGAATCGAATTTTAATCAATGCTAGTAGCTTAGGTTGAACTCAATTCGACTTGAATTTTAAAACGTACAAAAAATAAAATTTAATCAGCTCAAATCAAATTTTAATCGATTCAAATTTTAATATGTAAAAAAACTAATTTTAATTAGCTCGAATTTTAATTTGTAAAAAAATAAATTTTAATTTGGCTCGAATTTTATGTAGAAAGATTGTTTATGGTTTATGAATGGACTATTTTTGTATTTAGATAAAAACAATGGTTTAGCGGTAAGGAGGGTAAATAATGCTTAAATAGAAACTAGAAAAGATGCTAGTGATATTTTAGATAATAAAAAGAATATCATTAAAGATATAATAAAATAAAAGGGATATGATTGAATTTTTTTTTTTTAATATACTAGTTAATGTACAC